AATGAGTGCTGGCAAGCCTTGGGCTCTGGCACCTCTCTCTCCTTTTTCTCACAACCAGCAACTGGCTTCCAAATTAACTAGAACAGCAGGTACCCAACCATTTTGGCACCACGGATGCAAGGCAATTTTTCCTCAGACCAGAGAAGAGAATGGTTTTGGGATGATTCAAGTGCGTTACATTTATTGTGCATTTTATTTATATTATTATTACACTGTAATATACATGAAATAATTATGCAACTCACCATGCTGCAGAGCCGGTGGGAGCTGTTAGGAGCCAGGCTGCAAGGCGGGGGTGGCCAGCGGGCAGGTGGGCGAGGCTTCGTCTGTGCTTGTGGCCCCTCTCTGGCTCTGGTGGCACCGCCTTAGCTCCACCTCGGGTATTCGGACATTGGGTGCTCATGGAGAGTGTGCAGCCTGGATCCCTCGCATGTGTGGTTTGCAGGGGGGCGTGCTCCTCATCAGGACCTGGTAAGAGCGCTGTGCCCCACCCCAGCCCTGGCAGTTCTGCGGTGGACTGCCTGTGCATGTGCTGTTCGCTGCAGAGCTCACACTGGGTTGCAGTAGCAGGACCTGGGAACTCCTTGTGAGGGTCTGTGCTGGTGGTCGGGGGTGGGGGTGGGGCTGGCAGTGGCACTGGGAAGCGGTTCCAGCTGTGGGCCGCAGCTTCAGCTCACTTGCCCACCACTCACCTCCTGCTGTGTGGCCCGTTTCCTAACAGGCCATGGACCAGTAGCGGTCTGTGGCCCGGTGACCTGACCTGATCCCTGGAACACCTGCAGCGGAGACGTGCTTTGCTTAAATGAAAAACAAACCAGACTCAAATTGTAGTTTTCGGGTGTTTGCTTCTTCGCTAATGGGCCAGTTGGTGATGACAGCTGACCCAGAAATGTGACTTGCTGTGTAGGGGATGGCAGAAGGGAATAAAGCTTGTTGCAAAGAGAAAGTCATGTTCAGCTGAATCCTGAATAGGAACCATCCACTGTCACACTTTTGGGAGGGTCCCCTTGTGTTTTTATGAATGCTTTTGGAAGGAGTGTTATTGGGAGCGGGTCCTCTGCCAGCCTTGCACTGATCTATAGGCAGATTTGTTACCCGATTGATTGGTTTATTTATGTTTCAGATGTATTAGTATTTTATCGTTCTAGCGTAAAACATTTCTAAGATCTGTGGGTTTACTTTAAAGCATATATAATCTGAGTTAAAATGCCATCCTTGAAGCAAGTTTTTCAGGTGCTGAACAGACCACAGTTACATATATTCTTAGTTATCTTACTGCAAATCATCTTATTAGGAATGTCTCAGACTTACATCCCTGACTCTGATGTTAATTATCCATGTATGGGAAGTATTTTCTATCAGACACTTTATAGATGGCAGGCCATCCATGACTGTCATGAGATGCACGTTTTTAATGTTAGTTATATACCACATTAATTGTTAATTTCCTGCAAATAATAAAGTGTGTATCGTTTGAAATGGAAATGCTGGGTCCAGGGAGCTCCACAGACTCATGTAAGGCTCCATTGAATTATTTCTTTCATTTTATTGAAAAGTGTCAGGAAATCTCTGAATTGCACAATGGAAGAATGTACACTTGGATCCACAAGAAAGACACCATACTTTCACCTCAGGAGTTTATTGACAAGGTCCCACAAGAACTGCTCTGACATAGACAAATAGAACAGTACTGCCAGGTAACCAGTATACCTGACTAAGTTCCCTGAGCATACGCAGAATATTTTAGGGGTCACATACACAGTAGCTGGGGTGATGATGAGGAAAGAATGGGTACGTTGCAAGGAACTGACACTGCAGGCACTGACAGAACAATGCAGAGTGAACAGCAGAGAGGATGTTGTACAAGGTTGCAGTGATATGGTGTGATTGGCAAAGTGTGGGTTCTGACATTCAGGGAGGGATGATTGTATCAGAACAGAAAATGTCTATTCAGCATTGCTTCCTGCAGCCAGTGAGCTGGCCAGACACATTGTTTTAACTTTAACTGCACAGAAGCTGAGAGGATTGGGGCCATTTTTCCTGGGGAAGGAACTAGGAAGGAAAACCCCTGCAAATAGGGAAGGGGAGAGAGGACACTCCTGCCAGAAGCAAAAGCATATCTTTTTATTTGAGGAATTTTTGATATGGAATGCCCCAACAAGACTATCCCAGAAGCATTGTAGTTTTGCAAAATGAAGCCAGCTTTCGCTGTACAACTCAAAAGCTGATGACAATATGTATGCAATTATAAAAATGGCTCATAAACTATTTCATGACTGTCAGAGCATGTTAAAACACATGTAAACATTCTCTTTACCACTGAGCATCCATTGGTTCTTTGGTGGGGGCACTTAAAAAGCCAGAGTGCTAAAGGAATGTCAGCTTTCATCTTTTGGAAAAAAAAAAAAAAAGCAGGAAATGATACTTTGTAAAATTGGGCAAACTTTTCTATTTCAGTTTGAATAAGTCTAGTCAACATGCTTCTATGATGATTACCATTTTGCTCTGCTTTAAAAATGCAAATCCTAGCTACCTTGGCTTCTGAAAAGCCTGGTCTGTTTTGGCAGTGGTGATTGGAAAATCCACCTGTCATTTAAATGCTCAAATTGTATGGTTCTTGTGCCTGTGATTGACCTCACTTGTCACAGGAATAATCTTTTCCAACCCCACCTTCCAAAAAACCCACAAATACTCAGAACCCATTACCTGTTCCTAACAGTTATAGCTTGTTAATGTGGCATGAGGAGTCTATGGAAAGCAATATGCCTTTTAATAGTTCTCAATTATCTAGTGCTTTCTAGATGCTGAGAGTACACCACAGATACAACACTTGCAAACTGTACAGTGTCCCCGAGATGTAGGTTGGATGATTTTCTTACATTGCAGATGAGAGGCACGGAGGAGTTCTCAGAGTTTTGCTTAAGGACTCTTCAGGGCTGAAGCGAGATTTGATCTAGGGATGCCTTAGTTAATAGCTTAGAGAGCAGCCCTTGGTAATTTGAAATGGTTACTTTTAGATTATTATAGTATATAAGAGACAGTGATACCATATATATATATATAGCCATCGTTTGATAACTAGATACTAGTTTCAATTGTGTGAACCATTGCATTCTCTAAGTTTACATAAACGGCATTAGCTTTAACATATTGGTCTTATTTTAGGTCTGCCTTTAAATTAACATATAGCGTGCATTTTGGGATCTCCACCACTTTTGGAGAAGCATTAGTTTACTGCAGGAATATGGAAAGCAGTGCACAGAATTTAATGTATTGCCAGTAGATGGAATGGGTGACAGGCTGGTTAGGTGGTAAATCTGCTTTGAGAGCTAACAGTTCCGTGAATTTTTAAGTTTAATCAGCTACTCAAATGAGCTAAAGTTGGTCTTGGGAAGTGATTTAGGACTGTTAAATGTGTGTTTGTTTTACATGGTTATGGGGGACATGCAGCTGAATGTGAGGATTAACTCCATTGTGGAGTCTCATGTTGAGACAAAGTCAACAGCTGGCTCTGATTAATACTGTGTCTAAGAAAAAGTCTATAAACCAGTATAACAATATTTACTGTAATGGGGGAAGAGGAGCAGCAGAACCTGTTTGTTTCACAGAAGTCCATATTCATGTCACTGCATGATTGTAATGCAATGTGATCAGCGAGATAGGAAGATCTGTTGGAATGATGGTAACCTGTGGATCAAACTGATCGCTCACTCAGACTGTTTGGAACTGCAGCTCTCAAAGCTGTTTGTAAGTTCTACATGTCAGAGTCAGGCATATGAGACGAGCTCAAGTCTTCCATTTGTTTGGTCCCTTGCTCTTCTCTTAAAGGCATGAGGATGAAAAAGTAATGAACTTGTTATAGAAGTTCAGAGGAAGCATAGTTTGCTCTTCGGTCTTCTTTTCTCCAACTCACCTGAACGGGGGATGCACATTTCCTTTGAGAGATGTTGATACAATTGGGGCATGAATTCTGTATCTCCCCATTATGTAGTGAGAACCATGGAAGTGTGGGAAAATGAAACGTGAGCCATGCAAGCTTATCCCCACACTGATCCTTAAGTAACTTCAGATGAGATGTTCATAAGCTTGGCTGAAAGTGAGACTCTTTTTCTCATGCAGAGTTCCTTCTCATATTCAGACACGGACAGTTTTGCCTCATAATTATATCTTCAAGGAAAAATAATATCCATTTTCCTTCTTTGCTTATGGCACAGGTCCTGTGGGGAAACATATCACCAGTGCTCTGTTGAAAATGGCAAGAAGTGGTCCAGGTTACCAGAGGCAGATCTAGGGTTGCATTGGATCCACTGGGTCCCCTCCTTTTCCCTATAATGGGAAAAGTATACTGGCTCAGGAAAAAGATAAAAACAAAGGGAGGGATATGAGGAGAGATTCTTTTCCTGCCTAGCAGGACTTTACATTAGTGGTTTGTCTGTCAGGTTATCCATCTGCTAGTCCTGTTGGATTGCTGTGCCCCTGTTCTTACGCCAAAATAGGTGTTCTTTGGTTACTACAACTATACACTGCTGCTTGTATAGACGTAGCATATAAATATTGTAAATACTTACGTTACAATTGTATACAACACAATGTGGTGGTGCTGTGAAAAGACTTCTTATGTATTTTCCAGTTATATTGAATACTTCTGTTCTAGCAAGATTTTAAAGTTGTATAAACCATATCAAAGGTGTAGGCAAACTCACAGATAAAATGAAAGGAAAAAATAGCTTGTATACACATGCATATGTGATGCTTTCCTCTGTTTAGATCAGTTTTTAGATCTTCTAAATTTGTTGTACCTTGTTAATGTAGCATTCACTCAATTAAAAATATGTTTAAAAGCCATTGTAGAAATAATACATATTTTTAAATGCATTTGAGAGAACTGTTTTTTGCAACATAGTGCAAACAACAAATATGAGCTCATATTCACTTTAGGTATGAAGCAGAAAGGAGAGAATGCACACAACCAATTCAATTATTTACATTTTATTTCCCAGGCAAATTTCAAGTTTCTCCTCTGGGCTGGATTATTAAGCTGCCTCATAGTATGTGGATTTACCCAACAAGGTAAATGGAACAGTTTCAGGATCTCAGTATGTACAATTTCCAGTTATCCCTGGAGATGAAATTGAGCTGGACCAGTACCCACTTTAACAAAGTGCAGGCTACTTGGAGGATAGTGAGTTGTAATGAAATTGTAGTCCTGTTAAGGAGGATTCCTTTGAAATTCCATGCATTTCTTATACTTCTAAGCAAAAAAATCCATGAAGCCTTTCCATTTCAGTGAAATAGGTGAAAGTGGGGTCCCATTAATGCATCTTTCCACCATATGTTCATGCAATGAAATAGTTGTCTTCCCATACCTCCCTTGCCCCGTATCTTGTCTATATGGGTAATGTCTGGCATTTAAACCTGCTTTAATTCCTGGACTAATTGTGGGCAGAGAAGGCAGATGCTTGGTACATAAGACAACCGTTTTTCCTCTGGGCACCGAGCATCTGTGGAATTGATTTTTAAGAAGAAAAGTAATATTAATTAATTATTAGTTTGAACTATACTTTCAGACAGCTAATTCTAATTTAAATTGGTTGTGTGGCACCGACAGTTCTAAAAAAAATAACTTGTTTGTATTTTTTATATATAGGAGGGAACAATTGTATAAAAGCCAATGCAAAATCATGTGCAGATTGTATACAAGCTGGACCAAATTGTGGATGGTGCACAAATAGAGTAAGTATTTTTTTATTTTCTGCAACTCAGTATTTGTACCTATTCTTATGCATTTAACAAGACTGATGATTTATCTGCTGATAAATAAAATAGATGCAATTTCAACCTATGGAGATTTTTGATTAACATGTGACTCTAGAAAGTTCAGAGGGGATGAAAACAATCCATTTGTAGTTAAAATCTTGACAGACGTGATGTGGGTAGAACAGGGTTGAGGTCCACGCTCCAGCGGGAGAGGGACAGGAGCACACAGAGTGGTTAGTTGCTTCACACTCAGGCTTCACACACAGGGTGCCGGAAGGCTCCTGAGGTCAGGATTCAGCCAGTACTTTCCTTCATGGGTAAAGCAAAGGAGGAACAAAGCTGGCTGTCCACTTGGTGGGACCAGCCATGACCACGGGCCTCAGAGGGCTCCTGAACGTGCTGCCAGAATGCACTTTGTTTTCGGTCTTGTGCAGTGAAAGTGAAGGAGGGGTAAGGCCGGCTCCCTGGCCACAGTGCTTGGCAGCTGGTACTTCAGCCAGGGACCCTATTACTTCAGAGAGCCTATGGGGAGGCCCGGAAGTATTCTAGACCCTGAACTCTAGTTAGAACAATCTTTTATGAATTTAGTTTCTTAACCTTACCATAAGGGCTAAGGCAAGACAAACGGACAATCTTGACAGGCTGTAGAAATGGTGGCCCTTACTGAAGAAGCTAGCAAAGATAATTAATCAGCTAATCCCCTACTTGTTTTAATGATCCAGAGAGTTCCTTTTGCAAGTCCCAGTGTATGTGTAGGAGCTATTGAGAGAGAGTTTATTTTTGATTGATCTGGATGCTGGTGAGACCTCATTTTCAAATCCGCACTCAGACTACAGCAATTATTCAGTGATCTTTGGCCATTACACTCAATGGCCTCTTTCTTTAAAAGATGATGGGTTGTTGTGCATGAGTGGATATGGGCTGTCGTTGGCTAACTGCTGGGTTGTTTAGCCCTTAAATAGCGCAGTGATCTCATTTGTACATCACATTGCATAGCCCATGAAGGAGCTATGAGTTGTACTATAAAGGTCATGAGTTGTACTATAAAGTGGAACACTGTAGGAAGTGCACCCGTTTGTGTGCAGCAACCCAACAGTTTCTAAACAAGCAGGGCCATTGAAATGAATGGACCTTAGGTTAGTTATAGCTAACTTAAATCCCATTGTTTCAATGCATCCACTTGAAGTTAAGTTTGGATTCAGTGCAATAACTTATTGATTTGACTTTTTATTGAGTCCCTTGAGTCACCTGGAATATTTTCCCAAAGTATCCACCATCTTTCAGGAGATACTTGTTAAGGAGCAGGCTGTGGTCTGAAGGAGGGTTACAACAGCCTTGCCAGGTGCACAGAAAACCATGCTCAGACCTTTTAAACGCAACCAGTGACAGGTCTGTAGGAAATTATTGTACAACCTTATTCCATGGTTAAAAAAAATCTTGGCTGTCTAATTTTCCAATAGAATAAGTACCATACTTGAAAAAAACCCAGGCCTTTATGGGAGCAGGGACAGAATTTTGACTCTCACATAATTGGAAAATACTCTGTTCTTTTCAGGATTCCTGTTTTTGTCGTGTTTACTTGAAAACATTACCTTTTATTTTATCAGACAATAGATCTTTTTCAGTCTTGCATTAGAGCCTTACTGCTTTTATAACTGAAGTAGAATAGAGGCAGAGAGGCTAAAGAGCCAAGGCTCAAGTGACATGTGAAGGCAGCATGCCGGATTGTGTCTCAGTGCCTAAAATACACACGACAAATGAAATGGAACAAGACTGCAGAGAGAATCCAGAAGAAAATCTTATTTTTGACTGAAGAGTGCCTTTGTGAGTCTTTGAGTTGGGTGCTTAAACTTGCACAAAGAATGCAAACATCTATTTTACAGAGCCCTGTTGGGCGCTACTCAGGTTTCCTGAATTTTTTGAAGACACAAATAGCAGCTGAGTCTCATACAGACAAAATTGAATCTCTTTCTTACCTGTGTGTGCCCTCCTGCAGAAGCTGCCCATTTTCTAGCTCCTCAGTAGAGATTTCCTGACTTCCATACAAATTACCTATTACGGAGCATGCTGCAACTGTGCTCCAGTTGTCTCCGCCCCCAATTCCTCTGCTTTCCAACTGCAAGAATAATGGAAATATCTGGCACAAGCAGCCTGTATCTGTAAATAGCTAAGTTCATGCTGAAGTTTTGCCACATGGCCGCTGCACATCATGTGGGTGAGGAGGACAGGAGCACATTGTACATGTGGTTGATTTTTGTGGCTGAGATGGTCTGCAGTTTCTTGAACCCCAGGTGAAAAGACAGGAGAACGCAAGGTAGTTACTACTTGCATATAGACAAATGGCTGAAGAGACAATTTCCCAAAGTGACAAACACTGACCCTAGAAGAAATAGCTAGTCATAACTGAGGAGCAGGTGTGTTGGTAAGCGACTTTTAGAAAATCAGGAATTGGTTTAGCTGAATGAATAATAAATTGTATGGGCAATCTCCTTAGCTTTTGTCTTCCTTGGATAACTGCAAAGATGTTTTCTTCTCTTCTCCTTCCACCTCCACAGAAAGGGTTCCCTCATAGTTATTTAAAAATCATTCCTCTCTGGAGTCTCTCTGTCTGGATTTAATTATACTCTCTTGGTGACATTACAAGGACAGTAACTTTAGAGGCAGATAAAAGCGGGTGGGCAGAGTAACGTTGTATTTTATGCACATTTTAAATCTAAATTGAATTCTGAAATCTCCAAAGCTGTGATAGTTAGGTCCTAAACCTGCTGCCATAGAGCTGGTACATTTTCTGTGTCGGCAGAACTATCTCAGCCTGTGATAGGGCTAGAACCTGGCTTCATACTGTGTTTTTGTACAGAGGTACAAAAACAAATTTTAACCTGTAGTTTGAAATTGCATGAAACACAGGTTTCATAGTCTGGGCCTCACAGAGTTGCTAAGAAGGTTGCTGCTTTTACCAGAAAGTAAAAAAATGGATGCAGGGTTACATTCATGGCAGAAAATGTGGAGCTTAATTTGGTCACGTTGCTTCCGTTTCTTATTGATGTTAAACCATCTTTTCCATGCAAAGGCACCCATGCATGTATGTAAAAGTGATAAAGAGTAAGAACTTCCTGCTACAATATATAGTGGTAGCTGTTTAGAGGTGTGTGCGTGTTGGGGGGCTTCACAAGCAAAATGCCACTTAATGGCTCTTGAAGTCTTGCTCTATTAAACCAGCAGGCAGCGCCACTCCCAGTTCCATTCTGGTCTTGGGCAAGCTCTTTGTAAATGCTGCCTCAGGATCCTGGCTGGTGAGTTCGCATCGCCTGAGGCTTCCTTCTTGGGCAGAGCAAGTTGCTGTTCCTTTAAAATTGGACCATGGCTCAGAGGTAGAGGCCGTACCTTGCATGCAGAAGGTCCCTGGCTCAGTCAGGTGCCAGCTCATGGCAAGGGCCACTCTGACTGAGACAATAGAAGGATGCTGCCAGTTCAGGGAGCGAATGCTGGGGTGGAGGTACAAATAATTTGATGGAACCTCAAGCAGGTTCGTTCATTCCTGTCAAGATTTCCACTGTGCTTTATTTTTTTCACACAGATATGGAGCCTTGGCACCTCTCAAACTTCACAAGTGTGCATGCATCTTTTCAGGGGCCAGTGCTCCCTTGAAGGACCCTGTCTCCTCCCTAATGCCCTTTAGACCTGCTGCGATGGTGCACAAAAATGTTCTTGGCTGTAGTCATGCTGACAGTAGTCAGCTGCAGGGTATCTCTGCAGTGCATAGGCTCCTAACCCACCATCACTCTGTACGGTTTCATCTTCCTCTTGAGCTCCAGGCTAAATGATTGCTTGCAGGCTATCGTTTCTGACAAGAGGTAGCCCCAACTGGACTGTCTTTCTCTCCATGATATCTCTGCAGTCCAGTTCTTGCTGCATCACCTCTGACCTCCTGGCATAAGCCCAGCCTGCTTCTGCCTTAGCATTTCTGCTCTGCAAGTCCCACTCATGGGAGTGGGAGACACTTACTTGGCCTTCAGTTTTCTGTAGATGCTGGTCCCTGATCTACTTCTAGCTCCTTTCCAGAGGCCCTTGCAGCTTCCTTGGGTTAGAGCCCCACCTGCACTTATCTCCAGTCTTCTTCAGGGTTTCCATGTTCTGGGCTCATACCTTATCTTTGTCCTTACCTCAGTGTCCTTACCTAACCAGGTAATACCTTCAGAATCTTCCAAGCCCCACTCTTCCCTAGGTTCCTTAAAGCATAAAATTCTAAATACTGCTAATATTCCTATTAACCATTATAATAATGGCAGAACATTGCTTGAAAAGCTGCAGAAAATGGAATACATACCATTTATAATGGAAAACTGAGGGAGGGCATAGTCCTATATGGTTTTAGAGAGAATTAAGTCCTAAATTTGTAGCATGACTCAGGTGGCGAATACTGGAAATTTTAGGATTGAGTTCTGTCCTAACTTGCACAGGACAGTGCCTTTAATTTACATTAACTGTGGCCAAGATGCAGCTGAGGTGGGGTGGCAGTGGTGGGGTAGTGATGATTGCCATGGCACAAGAAAAACCCCATTGGGAAGCAACCGAACATTAGAACAACAGTGCAGTCGGATATAAAAATCAGTAGCTATATGCAGTAAGAGGCAGCAGAACACATCTCTTCTCTCATGAAAATACCCATCTACTGAAGCAGATGCTTTTTCTCCATCAAATCTAGCAGTGCATGCATTTAAAAGCTAAAATCAGATTTATTTGGGATTTTAAATGATATTTTATGACATTTTGGCTATATCTAAAATGAAGCAAGGAAGTAGTATATAGTTGGAATCAATGTGTATATCATAAAGTATTTTGACTCTGATCTTATTTACTTTGTTAGACCTTCTTACAAGAAGGAGAATCCACTGCAGCACGGTGCAATGATTTGGAAGTTTTAAGGACTAAATGTCCTCTAGATGAAATAGAAAATCCAAGAGGCTCCCAGGAAATGCAAAAAAATAAGGAAGTGACAAATCGTGTCAAAGGGGCTGCTGAGAATCTTAGACCTGAAGAAATTACCCAGATTCAACCACAACAAGTACTATTAAAGCTGCGGATAGGTAAGGATGTTAGTAATGCCTTACTGCCACGGTTTCTGCTATTCATAATAGCCATGCTTTCAAGATTTTTTAAAAATAATTTCTTTTAGTACAGCCCCAAGGAGTGTTATGGGGAAAATCAAGAAAACTGTAGTCCATCCATTAATCATTTTGCTGGGTTGACGGTATTAGCTTGTGAGATTGCTTTGAAATATTTACTCATTTGTAGTCATTTGCTGTTTCAACCATGTATTTATTTTTTATGTTTGTGAAGACTCAAGGCTTAGACTGATGTATGTTGCCTTGAACAATTTTAAGCAAAAGGGTGATTCAAGTGTATTTTGATAGGCATACTTGTGCTTGAATGAAGTTGCTTCATTCAGAAGATAACTATGAAGCTCTTTGACCAGTCTTCATTAAGTGTGGAGTTCTATATTTCCTAGAATGTTGGAATTTGTTCAACAATTTTGGACCAAGTGCAAACAGCCAAAGATTAATTTAGGACAATAGTTCCTTATCTTTCTTTACAATGGATCTGCTGTGGAACTACTCAAATGAAATACAGACCATGTGCATTACACAGGGTGGTAGTTTGGAAGTAACTTGAGAAGGGATAGAAGGTAACAGTGGTAGTGATGGTGATAAAATCCAAAATATCACACAATATCTAGAAAAAGTAAAGATTGATAAAGATTATTTTTGTCATGTACCATACTTAACGATGTCTTAGTGAAGTGATAAAGCTTTTTGCAGGTAGCAGTGTACAACAGTGTTCCACCATCTGCATCAGCTCCTCTCTCAGTCACCCCCTCCATGTGCCTCAGAGAACCAGTCAGAGTACATTTTATAGAAAGATTACATGATGTATAGATGTTATGAGCCAAAAAAATCTCTGTTGCTTAGACCTGATAGACATTCTGCACTTGTGACCCGTAAGAGTTCTAAGAAATGGCCTGTAAGTTTGTTGCCTAACCAAACACTGGCTTTTTAAGGGCATATAGAAGGGAATTCTTGCCTTCTTTTCCATGGATTTTCTAAGAATCTTTCAGAAATGGTAGCAAAAGGAGAAACATAAAAAAGCTATGTGTACTATAGCTTGTTAACTGCTCAGAGCTTTCAGGATGGAATAAATTATCAATATCTGAATGTTCCTTTATTTCTCCTTTCCTTCACATCAGGTTCAATACATACAGGAGAAGCTTCTAAAAAATGGTTAGTTGCCTTGTATGGTACAGAAGAAAGCCTGTTGTGGTCAGAGGCTGCTTGCTAGCACTGTGAGATGAAACCACATGTGCATATATTAATAAACAAGTTGTGGAAATGTTTCACAGCTGTTCAAGCAGCTTTAGTGCTATGCTTTAAGAAGAAACAAAATTTACCCATGTTGATATGGTTGGAGTTTATGTTAAGTATAAACATGTTTCTATGTTAATTAAGGTGTCAGTGAAGAGAAATTGATCACCACTTTTCAGTTAGGATGCAGAAAAATAGAAGATCAAGTTAGATAAACAAGAAATTGGGTATTTTAAACAGACAGGCCCCACATCAAATCGAGGACATTTTTCTCCCTTCATTTCACTTGCAAGGGATAAAAACTTAACAAACACTGTTTCATGAAGGATGAATTTGCACTCAAGATTCAGGCATTGGTTTATTCTTAAATAGTGGTTTGACTTTTTGAGTATTCTTCTGAAGAAATATGCCATCTCCATGGCACCTTTGTGGTTTGAACTTCCTGTTTTGCTGCTCTATAATTTCAAGGCAGATCAAATATTTAAAGGCTTCCTTTCACTAGTACACTTGCAAATGGTTTAAAATCTTTTTATTGATAAGTAAGATAATCAAGCAATGTATTAATGTTACAAGAGTTGTGTACAAGTGTGCCCTTCTATTTATGGAAAGCTTTTCAATCCTGCAAAAGCTTGTACAAAGTAAGGAGAAATTATTGCAAATTCCCACTTTCCCCTGCAGTTTCCTGTGCTACCATTACACCTGAAATATATGTGGGGCTATACAGGTGGTTGGAGAGAGGTGGGGAGATCACCATTCCTTTCCTTCATTTCAGGGAAGTCTCTGATAGCTCAAAGAGCCTTCCACAACTGGATACAATCCCATAGCCAATTTGTATTTGTGCATATCTCTGAGAGAAACAGTGTTAAAAAGGCTGTCTGTGATGATTCAGTGAGGTGATAAGTGGAAATAGTTTACTGTTAGAAGATTATGCAGCAAGTAACTAAAAGAGGAGGCAGATATGAAGATGATTGTTAATGGAAGCAGCAAGTGTGAATGAGAACTCCTGACAATGGTTGTACAATGGAAGAATATTTAAGAAGTGGTTCTTAGAAAATTTGCAGTTTAGGAGTTAGCTCTCCTAAAGCAGGATATTTTGCATTAAATGGATTTGCAAAGCAAGAAGCAGTCAGTGGATTCTGTGTATCAATGAATAGTGATAATCATTTCACTGAGGATTTCATTACTAGCCAGAATGTTTTCAGTGAACTGCTCATCTCTAGCTGATTTGCTTCACTCTCTGCAGCTTCTAAAGGTGTAGATATGGTTGTCCCAAAGCATTTCCTTCATGTATTGTGGAATGTGCTCCCCAGAGAGGTTTGCCTGGTGCCGAGTTTATATTCTTTTTGGCACCAGGTTAAAACCTTTAAATGGTATTTTAAAAAATAGTATTTTAATTGTTTTTAACAGTTGCTTTTGATTGATTTGATTTGTTTGATTTATTTTTATTTATTGTATTATGTATTGTTTATTGATTGTTTTTATTGAGATTTGTATTATTGTTATTTATATTGATATTTTTGTAAGCCATCCTGAGGCTGTAGCAAAGAATGGCATATAGATGATGATGATGTATCTTTATGTCTGACCACTCTGAACAAATTAACCTCCCTGTGCTAGGTGACAAACTGGAAATTTGAAAGGTCTAGAAACTAGTTAACTTCTTTGCTTCAAGATTTTTTTTTTTCTATTTTATACCTATTTTGGGATAGAAGAACTCTCATAGGCAAGGCATCATATTGTCAACATATATGCTCTGTGCTGTATTATGGAATCTTGACTCTTCTTTCCCATTGAATTAGGAGAACCACAGGTATTTTCATTAAAATTTAAGAGAGCTGAAGATTATCCCATTGACCTTTATTACCTTATGGATCTCTCCTACTCCATGAAAGATGACTTGGAGAATGTTAAAAGTCTTGGAACTTCTCTGATGACTAAAATGAAGAATATAACTTCAGATTTTCGAATAGGTAGGAATTTTATTTGTAAAGATGACAGAGAAAATAACGAGTTCCATTTTTAATATAATATACAGTATAATATGCATGAGTTCTGAAATGTAAACATTATTTTAGCGCCAAATCCTATGCATGCTAAGGCAGAAAAAAACTAATTTCCACTTGCAGGACATTAGATGCTTATCAGAGGGTTGATGCAAAGAACATATTTAAATTGGCAGGTTAAAAATAATCTTTGACCATTTAAATATAAGAATCATGAAGCATTTCCAAAATACAGGATAACATATTCTGGTGATTTTCTGTTAGTATTTTGTGTAGATTCAATTAATCATGGACAATGGGAATGTGGCCTTTGAGAATCTCCATGAAGGTGGGGAAAAAAGTAACACAATTAGTCCTTTAACAAGGATTGAAGGTTACCTTGTTGCATAATTTTGATTTTTTGTAAGCACAGTCCAGGTTTATAGCACTCCTTCCTGGGTAGTTTCCATGTTGTACTGGGATAAAGTGTATGCACGCACAGGCTTGCATATATCAGAATCCTGTATAGCAGCCTAAGAGGCTTCTTGATGTTTCAAAGAATGAATAGAAGATATTTGATTTGACCTTTATTAAGAAAAGCATCAGTCCCCTCTGAACATTTCCTCCTTAATATCCCTTCTTCTAGCCCAAACTTTCTGTGGTTTCTAGATGGGAGAGGGTTTTTTAAGGGAGGAACATAATATATCCAGTTGCTTCCCTGCTTTTGTCACAGCACTTTCTAGTGCACTGAGAACCACAGAACTAGAGAATCTCATTCTTTTTTCCTCTTTTTTTCCCTCTTAGGTTTTGGATCTTTTGTTGAAAAAACTGTAATGCCTTATATCAGTACCACCCCTGCCAAATTAAAGAACCCCTGTACAGGTGATGTGAACTGTACAAGTCCTTTTAGCTACAAAAATGTTCTCAACTTTACCAGCGATGGAAGTCTGTTCAATAAACTTGTGGGAGAACAACAAATTTCTGGCAATTTGGATTCTCCAGAAGGTGGTTTTGATGCAATAATGCAGGTTGCTGTTTGTGGTGTAAGTGTGTGTTCATTTATTCTGGCTATTACTCTTAAGTGTATTTGAGTTATATCCCAGTTGTTGTCTTTCACTTAAAATGATTCCATTACATTACTTGTAGACACACAAAAATGTTTATTTTTCTTCTTGGAAGTAGATGTTGAGATAAAGTGATATATTCCTTGTGTTCGCTTTACCATTAGTACAAAATATAACTGGTATGCAGGCAATGCAATCCAGTGTTGCTGCTTGTAACCAGACTCTGAGGATTATGATTGTCTGATGTGCTGCAGAGGGAATGTGGAGGAAAGATCACTTTCTGCTCCTCATGCTGCCCAAAATACTTAGTTGTCTAGTGTTTGGCCTTGAAGTGCAAGAAGATGAGACTGAGGCACTGCCAGAATACTTTGAGCGCAGGTTGTTTCTTTTCCTCTAGACGCCCGCTTCACTAAAGATACTAATAAAGACCCTAGAGCAGGGCTCTGAGTCAAGTGGCATGATGGCTGGTGGTCGAGTGAGAGTAGTACATTACAGATGACTTTGAGCAGTCAAGTGGTGGTGGTGGTGGTGGTTTTTCTGTTGGGAGTTTGTTTGTTTTTTTTACGGAGGGGGGGACACAACCCTCTCTCCAATCTTAGTCTGAGGATTTCTGAGTCAGAAGGGATTCAGTAGCAAATGGTACATTGTCATTTCTGTATGCCTCACAATCTCTTTGAATCATGCCAGTAACAGCTGCCTCCTAGAGCCACTGCATCCCGGAAGTGAGTTCAAAATGTTTGTGCTGGAAGTAGCTTCTTCCTGCTCTACTATTTTAAATAATTGAAGTACACCCGACATGTTTGCTGTACTGGCTATAGAGAAGCTGTACCTTCATGCAAAAAGTACATAGCAGTTCTGATCACTTATTTTTCATTGGTGTCTGCTCTCAAATTCTTTCATTATATGTACTGGCTTTAAATTACATTGGAAAGAACTTTAATAAAATATTCTTTCTTCTCAAGTCAAAAATTGGATGGAGAAATGTCACGCGTCTGTTGGTGTTTTCCACGGATGCTGGATTCCATTTTGCTGGAGATGGGAAACTTGGAGGAATTGTGCTACCCAATGATGGACAATGTCATTTAAATAATAATATGTACACAATGAGCCATTATTATGTAAGTATGTTTAATAGGAACTTAAATAATGGGGGTGTTTGTATGTTTATATGTACAACCTTTTGGATTAATGTGTTTTGTTAAGAGTTAGTTCACATTTTCCAGTATGGCATAGTGGTTAGAGTGTTGGACTGGCCACATGGGAGATCTGGGTTCTAGTCCCGCTCAGCCATGCAGTTCACTTTGGCCCAACCGCAGGCTCTCAGCCTAACCTACTTCAGAAAGTTATTGTGAAGATAAAATTGAGCTATGTAAAGGCAGAATATAAATGCAATGTAATAAAAATAAGGTCCTAAATGCTGTAAATGTGCAGTTGTCAAGAAACACACCCTTAAGAAATACATTATTTTAGCACTGATCATATGCTATCCTATACTGTGGTAGGTTCCAGCTTCATCAATGCTTTGGAACTTCTTGGGTGTTCATGGCAGAATGGTGGACCTAAGTTCTCAAATCAGTACCTTGAATTGGGCTCAGTAATGTGCAGGTGGTTGGTGCAAGTGGACAGGAACTGGTTTTATATGTTCAGGCTTTCAAATCCGTGAAACGATCTGCAGCTAAAGCTTGCATTCCATGTTAAAAGTACTCTTCTTCCTGCAGGATTGAGCATGCCCAGGAAAAGGCCTTACAAACCCCTAGAGGATAAAATGGGCTGCAGAACATGTGTTTCTATGAAAAACAGTAGCCATGCCATCGCACTCCTAGAGCACTGCCTGTGCTAGTGAAGCTTTAGAGACTGAGTGCCCAAACTGCAACCCAAAACCCACTTATTTATTGCCAACACTACAATAAAACCTGAAAACTGAGGTTTTAGTTTAGAAAAAACAACTCACAGCCAGTCCACGCAAATATATATATATATCCTTGGCAGCACATGGACCAGCCATGCGAAAGCTTGGATGAGTCGCGGCTAATAAGATGCGGCTTGTGATGTCATTGCCTGGCGCCGCTACTCCTTTCCAAGCATGCACATGGCCCCTATGTGCGCCGTTATCCGATGCTCAGCTGCTGGGGCGATGCTGGGGTGACTTGGCTTGTGTGCTGACAGAGAAGGTTCTGTGTGCCAGCTGTGGCACGCATGCCATAGGTTCGCAGCACTGCACTAGGCCTTCCTCAAGCCTGACACAAGAAATGGTTTCCCAGATGATGGTGTATCATTTCTGAGAAATAAAACAGTACCTGTCAAACTGCTGAAGGACACTTGGCATGATTCTGGAAATGAGGCCATTCTTCACCCTTTCTCCTTCAGAGTTGGCACAGACTATCATCAGCATGAACTCTCTTGCACTGCCAAGTTTCAGATCAATCCTCTGAGCAATTTTCTAATTATAACTATTGAAACCTGCTGCCCTCCTAATTTCTGGTTATAATGTTGGAATGAGATTGGTCTGACTCTCACACAAGATAAAGTCACAGCTGCAGCCCTATTAAAGGGCACACAAGTGTGTAACAACATCTAGTCCTTAAAAAATAGGTGACCGTGGGGACCAACATGTGTATATTACTTTATGGAAGAATGCTTTGAGAGGAAAACTGATACACAGTGCAACTTAGGTATACAGGATCCTTAAGAATTATGTAAGGAAGATCTGTGAACCTGCATAGGTTTATCTCTTAGCACAGTTTCATCAAGACATTGAAGTCAGATACAGCATTTTTCATGGTTTTGATCATGGAGCAGAATGCTATGTTAAAGATGGTTTCTTTTGAACAGGTCCTATGTTTAAAACTGGGAGGTGACTTTTTATCCTGTGTTGCTAAAAATTGCCTTGTTGAAAGAGAAACAAGCAAAACATTTATTAGACTAGATGAAAATATAGAAACAATCTTAAGTAACCCTATTGTGGAATAAAAAGATACTGGGGTAATTAGAAGCTTGCAGTAATGGGAGTTGATGGGCTTTTTCAGTGTTAAGAGCACCATTTAATATTCTAATTATTTGTATGGACCCTGTGACCATTGCAGAGCCATTTTAAAGAAAAGAATTGAAGGAAAAGAAACCCATGAGGCACCTTCTTGGGTTGGCTCTTGCTTTAGTCATTCTGGGAATAAACCCACTGAAATCAATGGGATTTGACTAATTAAATTCCCATGGAAAGTAGTGAGTCTACTCAAAGTATGACTAAATCTGAAATTCTGTTTGACTGGCATGTCTGTATTATGCATACAAGATGCCTTATATGTGAAATTCAGATATACTTAAAATACATTTTAATGCAATTTTAATTTTATTCTTTAGGATTATCCATCCATTGCTCACCTAGTTCAGAAGTTAAGTGACAATAATATTCAGATAATATTTGCTGTTACACAAGAATTTCAGCCAGTCTACAAGGTAAAGATCAAATGATATAAACATATTTGCGTGAGTTAAAAATAAAACTAGGTTGCCTGAGGAAAATCTTGCAGGTATAGTAGAACCCTGCTCTTTGCATGCAAAAGTGCTCGTTATCAATATTCACTGTGTTGTCCTATGTAAAAGCAATCTTTTTACACTGATCTCTAGATATGAAAAGGAATGCCTTCTAGCCCAGTATGCAGACTGTCAAGGGAATGCCGAATGGGCCAAAATGCTTTCTGAGGTTCCCCAGAAGGCCACACATCCATTCTTCCGCCCACCAACTATTTAGCGCTTTCCTGGGTTTTCCAAGTATTTTTCCCCATTCTAAAAGGTTTACATGAGTAACTTAAGGGCTAGTTACTGGTAATAAGAACTTTTAAGCTTAAATGTGCTGCATTTTATTTTATGCCTTGCTGCTTTCCCTTTTGCACGAGATGCTTCTGGAATTTAGTCTACAAGAGGTTCTCCAAAAGGGAATTCAGCCCCTGAGCAGAGAAAGGTTTGCCACTACTCCTCTGGCTGCTTGAATAAGAGAAGCTGTATTTACACCACAGAAAACTCTCCAGTGCACAGACAAGGAACCTGTGGCCTTCCAGATGTTGAACTCCTATTCCCATCATCCATCACCATTGCTAGGCTGACTAGGGCTAATGGGAATTAAAATCCTACAACATTCAGAGGGCCATGTGTTCCCCAGGACTGCTTTAGTGTTTGTATCACTTACTCATACTAGCCTCTTCACAAATTCTGTAATTTGAAACCATATATTAATCTTTAGGTTATTCATATTAATATTGTAATATAACTTTTCAGTAACTGTGTGCCCATTATAATTTGTATGGAATGTTGTTATTTTTCACTTTTCACGTGTACAGGAGTTGAAGAATTTGATTCCAAAGTCTGCAGTGGGAACTCTCTCCTCAAACTCCAGTAATGTGATTCAGCTGATTATTGATGCTTATAATGTAAGTTTACTTTAGTCAGTGGCTTTCATTTCTTCTGCTCAAGTCAGCATGAACTTTTACAATGGCTCCAATCCATTTCTTTTTTACTGAGCTCAGCATTGCCCTTAGATAAAATAGAACTAGATTACACTTAAGGATGCTTTTGATTGAGAAGGAGGTGGTTATGGGTTGAAAACATAGACTAACAAACCTGAATAATACAAGTTATTTTATTTAACACAATTCGGTAGGATTCTATGGTTCTGGCAAATAGGGACAAAGTGCTGAACCAGTGGCCCTGAACTTGAATCTGTATATTTTTATTAAACTTGTCCCTCACAGAGTCTTTGCAGAGGCTTATAGAAGGAATTAATAATCTCCATTGGTTTGTGTTGGTTCTAGAGGTCTCTCAGCCTAATTGAGTTTAAACAGATCACGGTGGCAAACTTAGTTAATATTGCAACTGTAGTAAGCATTATTAACCAATATGACAACTGAAAGACCACCACTAGACACTTCTGTCCATGTATGGGCTGACTCTTTATTTCTCTTCTGCATGGAGAAGGATTTCTAAAAATTTGTCAGGTCTGGCAAGCTAATATGTTGTTTTTGAATTCTTGGCACTTTATATACTAGCATAGGACTGCAGGTGGCGCAGTGGTTTAAACCACTGTGCTGCTGGGCTGGTTGATCAAAAGGTCGCTGGTTCGAATCTGCACAATGGGGTGAGTTCCTGTTGCTCTGTCTCAGCTCCTGCCAACCTTCAGTTCGAAAGCATGCAAATGCAAGTAGATAAAAAGGTACCACTTCGGTGGGCAGGCAACAGCGTTCCGTGCACTTCGGTGTTTAGTCACGCCAGCCACATGACCACGGAGACTGTCTGCAGACAAATGCTGGCTCCCTCGGCTAGGAAACGGAGATGAGCACCGCCCCCTAGAGTCAGGCATGACTGGACTTAACATCAAGGGGAAACCTTTACCTTTACGTTCTAGCATATACAGCAACTTGCTTATGAGACAAGGTCAATATTTTGGTTTTTTTCTGCTGTTTATCATATTATTATTATTATTATTATTATTATTATTATTATTATTATTATAACATTTCTATGCCGCCCCTTGCCGAAGCCTCGGGGCGGCTTACAACACAATAAAATACATTGAAATACAATAGAACATAATAAATTACCATTAAATACAAAAATACAAAAAATACATTGAGTTTCAAACATAATAATATAAAATTAAAATTATCAGTATAAAATAAGTAAATAAATAATATAGGAGGAGAAAAGAAAAGGAAGAAGAAGTTGCCCTGGCCAGATCATATATTTTAACAATTAAAATGATGTTTAAATAAAAAGGTCTTTATCTGGCACCGAAAAACCAGTAACGACGGTGCCAGGCGGACCTCTTTGGGGAGTGAATTCCATAGGTTGGGCACCACCGCAGAGAAAGCCCTCCTCCGAGTACTTACTCTCCTAATTTCTTTCATGGAGGGTTCCTGGAGAAGGGACTCTCCCGCAGATCTCAAAGGGCGGTCGGGCATATACGGACGTAAGCGCTCGTTCAGGTAGCCAGGACCCAAGCCGTTTAGGGCTTTATAGGTCATAATCAACACCTTGAATTGGGCCCGGGCTTCAATGGGCAGCCAGTGAAGCTGACGGAGGACTGGAGTCATGTGAGCATAACGCCCCGTCCCCGTCAGCAACCTGGCAGCTCTATTTTGCACCAATTGAAGTGTTTGGACCGTCTTCAGGGGAAGCCCCACGTAAAGCGCGTTACAGAAGTCTAGGCGGGAAGTCACCAGCGCGTGTGTCACCGTTGCCAGGCAGTATGTCAGGCATATAAGATGACCCTTCCCCCTCCCCCCCCCGCAATTCACAGGACATCTCATATGCAATCATCAAAAAAAACTTTCAGCTAAATGGGCAGCAGATGTTTAAAAGTTACTATTTTTATTCAAGTACCTCTGAAGTATGTGTGCAGTATGTAGCAGCAAGGGTGGGTGGGCACTGGACTCAGGAACGGGCATGTGGCTGCACACAATGTTTGCAACACAGGACTAGCTCCCCAAAGCAGGGAACACCTGCTTTCTCACCGCTGCTGCAGCCAGCGCAAAATGGTATTCCAACTCCTTGGTGAGGGTGGGCAGGACAGGTGCTGGACTTGGGACTATGTGAGGTTTGCAATGTGATGTGGAAGACAAACCGTGGTAAGGGATTTTTTTTTCAGCTGACATATAAGATGACCCTCCAATCTTTGCTTTGATATTTTCTATTTCAAGGATTGTCTTATACAGCAGTATTACACAGTATCTTCCACTTCCTCATGTGCACAGTATCTCCAATCTGGATTTGCTTATTTGGATTATTTCTTCCTAATATTTTGTGGTTTGATTTTAAGAGGTTGAAATTATGGTTTGAACATTCTTCATCTGGAGAGAAGCAGCAGTGCTACCGTGCTCTTTCATAGATTTGCTTAAGACTCAAGGGAAGTGAAATTGGCTTTCAGCACACCTGCCAAAATGCCATACATAGCATGTGTATGTCTGGCTGGTTTGTTTTTCTGAAAAAGAGAAAGACATGATTATAGCAGCAGCATGTGACTAGTATTTTTGATCCATTTTCCAAACTGCAGTGGCATTTGCTTTGTGAAACCCATGGGAAGATTGGAGCACTAGCTTGAAGTTTGCTGTCATTGAGGTGCATAGAGAGAATAATGGTCCCTTTGAAACACTTGGTTAAAAACTTGTTTGCAAGAAATGTATATTCTTTTGGATTCTTTTCTGTCCTCTTAAAACCTTACTTTATTATATGACTAAATAGCTTGTCTTTTGTTTTAGTCTTTGTCTTCAGAAGTTATTTTGGAAAACAACAAACTCCCAAAAGAAGTTTCAATAGAATATAAATCTTTCTGCAAGAATGGAGTGAATGGTACAGGAGATGAAGGACGAAAGTGCTCCAATATTTCAATTGGAGATGAGGTAATTTTCTGCATGCTGGATTTGTTTCACTGTATACTTAGGTGGCTCAAACACAAACATAATCCTGTATAAACTTAGTACATTTAACAAATTACTTGTACTATTTACTCTGTCCATTTGCTTTGCTTACAGGTTCGATTTGAGATAAAAATAACTGCCAATCAATGTCCAGAGAAAGCACCAGTGGAGCCAATTAAAATTAAACCACTAGGTTTCACTGAAGAAGTAGAAATTCATCTGGAGTTTATCTGTGAATGTGACTGTCACAATGAAGGAGTTCCTGACAGCCAGGAGTGCCACTTTGGAAATGGAACATTTGAATGTGGTGCTTGCAGGTACATACCAATAAAGAAATATGTAGCATAGAAAAAAGTACTATTTCAGTCACAATAGCAAAAAACCCCTGTGGCAGGGAACATGGCTGAAAAGCAATGTGGTATTTATTTTGTTTCTTTAAGTTTAATTCCACCTTATCCTTAAAATTCTGGAGAGTTTAAGAAAAATTTTCAACAAGAGAAAATGATTTAATTAACTGAAATTTCTAATGCAACAATAGATCTGAGATGCTTTTAGTCCCACATACTCATGTAGACCTGCCAGGTTTACATGGGGTGTGTTTCTTCTAACATTGGCAGCCAGTATTATCTTGCCAAAGCCATAGAAAGGCCAATCCCATGGCAGCCATCATTCCTATCCCTAGGATATAAGATGCTGTAATGATCATTCCCTGGCCGAGAAACATGCTGAGAAGCAAAGGCCTTCTCACTGGGTCTAAATAAGGAACCAGGACAAATAGCATTGCCACTTCCTTGGTTCCCCTTCTGATCTTTAAGGTAGGAAGATAGGGCTCTGCTAAGTACTTGTTCTTCAGACTTTAGAGCATTGTTCTTCAACCAGGCTCCATGATTTGGCTTGAGCTGGAGTACAACAGTGCTGATATGACTGTTTTTAGGGTGAGGAAGTAGTGTTTTAAGTGAAATAGCTTTCCAGCAAAGTTATCTCCACATTGCTGCTTCTTTGCTCAGATTTGGCGCCAGGGATGCAGGCACTGGCTGGGTTGACCTCCTAGGGTAGAGCAAAGAAGAGGGGCAGACATTCCCTAACTCAGATGCTGTTTAACCAAACTAGTGCAGCCCACTGCAGATCACACGTCTTTTCACATATGGAGGACTGCCAATAGGTCCTGCTACTCCTTATTTACCTCCATACACAGCAGCTGTCTTTCCTAGAGACTGACTTAACCCTTTCACTTAACACGGTTCTGTTGTGAGTTGTGTCCTCCCCAGCTTTGCTGGGCTACCTTAGCTCTTTTCTCCTTCATTTCTTTTGCTTCTCTGTTCATTCTCTTTTCCCCTTCATTTTTTAGTTTTTGTCACATTTCCTTTTGCCTCTTGTCTGCTTTATTTTTTGCATTCCCCTTTCTACCCATTTATCTCTGTATCCATTCTTGCAGAAACATAGATGTCCTTCCATGACTCCTTGAGTGCAACTGCAATGAATCCTCTCTCTGGTGTCATTCTAGCATCGGAAAAGGCCCGTTAGCAGGAACTGTTGTTGCAGTTGCTTCTGTCTGGCAGATGGCTGGAATAGGCTGTCTACAGGCTGGTTTTTGTACAGTGATTAGTTGCAGTTTATGCATTAGCAGTACAAATAAAAGGGTTATTTAGAAGCTCTCCCAAACTTATTGTCCTTGAATATCTGGCTCTAGAATGAATCATGCTATTCTTTTCATATAACTTATTTCTTGTATCTGTAAATATCTTTGCTGTTTTATTTGTAAGATATATAATGCGGAAAACATTTTTGCATAAATTCCTTTTCTAACAGTTCAGTCCTGTGGCCTATTTTCTTTTTTAGGTGTAAAACGGGACGTATTGGAAAATTCTGTGAATGTAGTATGGATGAAGTAAACAGTGAAGACATGTCGGGCACTTGTAGACCAGCAAACAGTTCAGAAATATGTAGTAACAATGGCGAATGTATTTGTGGGCAATGTGTGTGCAAGAAGAGAGAGAATCCAAATGAGGTCTACTCTGGGCAGTATTGTCAGTGTGATAACTTCAACTGTGACCGATCTGATGGTTTGATTTGTGGAGGTAATTCATTCACTTTCTTTCAGATAATTTTATCAAGTGAAGAGGCAAAACCTGAAACTGCTATGATAAAGTAGTAGAGAATTAACTAGATGAAAGAAGTAGGGTCACATTAGAAGTTGATATAATGCTGACATGTATCCATGACTGTTCAGAAACATGAAGCAAAGTAAACTTAGTCCATTTAAAAATGCATATGTAGGAGAAGATATATGGACAGATCTTGTTATGCGATATAGTAGACCCAAAACAGGGGTTGAAAGTCTCCTTTCTGTTGGAAAATGAGAACCTTTGGGTATAATCCTAAATCTGTGTTTAAATGTTTGTCTAATACTTAGGGAGTAAATCTTGTTAGCCTGTTGTATGTAGCACGGTAAATAGTGACATAGTTTGGCAGAGAAAGCTGAGCATTGTTGTAATACAACTGCAATATAATATATTGTGTTTCCCTGATGTTGCTTGTCTGCTCTTTGCAGAATATATATAATTTATACCTACTTTTCTGGACAACCCTTTAACGTGAAACAGATTAGTGAAAAGGAGAGACTTCTCTAAATAAAAGGCACTGCTGCCCTGCTTGTAGGCTTTCATCAGACTTTTGTCAGTCAATAAAGGACTCTTAAGGCAGTATAATTTTTCAGTATAACATATGAAGCATACTAGTATTAAAGTTTTTTTTCCTATTTTTAATTGTAGGACATGGTGAATGTAAATGTCGTGAGTGTGATTGCTGGGCAAATTATTCAGGCTCTGCTTGTGAGTGTCCCAAGGATACGACCCCATGTGTAGCCTCAAACGGGCAGATCTGCAATGGCAGAGGAATCTGTGAGTGTGGAGTCTGCAACTGCACAGATTCCAAATTTCAGGGACCAACCTGTGAGTTGTGTCAGACCTGTCTTGGTGTCTGTGCAGAGCACAAGTAAGGCTTCTTGTTTTTTTATGATAAAACTTCATTCCTAAGAGGAAAAGGTTGCATGTAAATCGTTGCAGAGGAATCTTTGTATACCCAAATTTTCTATATAGAACAGGTGTCAGGGCAGGATTTTGCTTCCTTCCCAACCTGCCCTCACCTGAATTCTGAAGCTGAAGTCAACGTTGATCTTTGAATTTTATAATCCTGGATTTAATATCAGTAAGATTACTCTGGGTGCTTGACAGAGCCATGGAACATAATCAGCTCCTGGTAATCTGGGAAGCTGATGGCAATAAAGCAACAGATGTTCTGAACAGTGCACAGGTAGCAAAGGACTTTTAACACATCTGGAGAAGCACTAGAGATGGCTGCCTTAGTATGCCAGAGATTTTGTTGAAAGGGGTAGCTAGATGGTAGCATTAAAGGGGTTGAAAAGGGTAGCTAGGGGTAGCATTAAAGACAAGGGTGGGGAACTTTGAGCCCAGGGAATAAATCAGGACCGCCTGTGGGACCCAATCTGCCCTCCCCCCACAAGTTCCCAAATGACCATGCCCTTTTCCCTAGGCCCTGCCCCAATTCACCAGCTTCTGATTGTTTGACAGTTTCCTGGCTTTTCCATGTTTTTCACCCTATTCTAAATTTGCCTGCTAAGGCTTAATTATTGGCCAGAAGAGCTTCATACTTAAAACATGGTGGTAATTTTTGCCTCACTATTTTGCCTTTTCCCAAAATGCCATTTGCCTCGAGACCCATCTGCCAGTGAAATGTGGCCAATGAGAGCTGTTATGACACTGAGTATTGTACTCCTGATCTGAGGTCAAATGTTAGGATGATTTAAAAGACCTGAACCAGAGCCCATTTAATTTTGTATTCTTTTCACCAAGTGCGCTTACTAAATGGGTATTCAGCTAATATTATACTAATGTTTAGTGTCTCTTACTTCAATAGGGACTGTGTCCAGTGCAAAGCATTTAACAAAGGAGAAAAGAAAGAGACATGCGAAGAAGAGTGCTCACATTTTACCTTGGTACAGGTGGAACATAGAGAAAAGTTGCCACAACCTGGACAATATGATGCTTTGACACATTGCAAAGAGAAGGATATTGATGACTGCTGGTTTTATTTCACATACTCTGTTGAGGCAAACAAGGCTGTTGTTCATGTGGTTAAAACTCCAGGTAGTTCTTGCTCTCAAATGGACTGACTTGACTTTGTTTTGTGATTTCCTGAAGCATAAATACTGCTATGCCTTAACGTTTAAAACCTTCTCAGCTAAAGTTCCTGTGCTTTCAGTTATTTCACCTACAAATGTCATTGTCATCTTCTCTGGCAAAAGATTAGATTGTTCACTGTGCTTGCCCTTTCCCTCCTAGAACACACTGTGTGGAGTACTAGTGGCCCTAGGTCTGTAGAGCACCAAATTCTGGCCCCTGCCATTGGCCAGGGGACCCAGCTCCTGAGAGGCTGTATCTTTTGCCTCCCAGGGGGAACATTGCAAGAGAAAGACCTAAGTGGCTCCACTTGCCAAGTAAAATAAGTTGCTGCAGAAAGAACACAGTTTCAATACTTGCTTTCATCTTTGTTTTCTAATCCTTTCCCCTTTGGTGTCATGTCTGTTAGATTGTGCACCTACAAATAGTCTTACTTTGGGCACTCTCTGTAGTAGTAGAAAATATTAGTGATTATTAATAAGTTGATATAATAATGGAGTTAAGATATATACTAGTTAAGATATTTCTTCAAAACAAATAAAAGCCAAAGTGTGCAGCTGTTGCCTCTTTCATGATAGAAATGTTACGCAGTAGTGAGCTGTGTGTATTTCATCTCCAAGGTTCTCTCTATCAAACACATGTTCAGCACTTTCTCTTTTAGGGTACAGTTAGTGAGCTCTATGCACAGGTGAGCAGTAAAGAGTTGTCGTTTGTGCAGTGACTTGCATACTGCTTGCTTGAACAAGGAACAGAGCACACATCTGTTTGTGAATCTTGGTCCTATCCCCACTTCTTCCACCTGCAGCTGCATGTGAACATTAAATGCCCCTCCAGAGGAAGAAGGGGCCTCCTGAACAGTGTAGTATGGTACAAAGAAGTGCTTTCAGGAGAAGACAAATATATGAATCTTTCCTTCTGCAAACTTAATGAAGCTTATCTTAAAAATCCAGGTGTGATTCTGGGCAATTTCCCTTTCCCCAGCAATGCCCAGCCCATCATATCCCAATTGTGCAGGAAGCTTCCTAACCCCTCAGAGACTTTTCAGGAGGCAGAGATGAGAAATTTCATTTTTGCAAACCTGTTAGCTTATCTGAGGATCCAAGCCCAAAATGTGTTGTCTTCTTGGAACACTTTTCAATGTGTTAGTGCCTTCACACAATTTGAGTTTTTCAGTATCATTTAGCAATGTGAAGTGCTTACTATTTACTTAACAATGTTTTACTAAATTGAATGTTTTGGTATTCATATATCCCATTCAGTTATTTTACCTGCTGAACAGGGAAGATTTCATGTGCTTGGAACAGTACGTATTGGACTGTAGCTAGTTCTGCCAAACTGATTTGCCTTACCAAATTTCTTCATCATTTCTTCCACATTCTTGGGATCTTAAAATCCATGCTTTTGCAAAATACAATTCATAGGCATTCCAGTCCCAGCCCCTACTGAGTACAGGGAAATCTGGAGCAAACCTAACAGATGGCTTCTAGCTTCTGTTTGAAGATCTCAAATAAAAGAAAGGGAGCAAGTCTAGGTAATTTGTTCAGTTGTCAAACCCCTTTTAGTGTTAAGTCATTTTCTCCGATTGTAACTTAACCCTGTTTTATCTACTTCTGCTCTTTGGAGCATGGTGAGCAATCTTTGTTTTGTGTAGTTTTGTGTGTGACAGCCCTTGAGGTATTTGAAGAGTGTTTGCATGACTTGCTCAGTCTTCTCTTCTCCAATTCCTCAGCTTTTCTTCATAGGACTTTTCCCTGTTGACCATCTTCATTGTCCTCCTCTAAAGCCATTTTGGTCTGTTTTTACACTCTTGCAGTATCAGAACTAACAGTGTGTACAATTCACATTGACAGCTGATTGTTTAATGCAAGATGAAATACAGCTATTATTTCTCGATTTGGAAACCATAGTTCTGCTATTGTAATTTAAAATTTGTGCAGCTGAACCAGACCGCTCATTTGTGTTCAGCTTCTGATGAACCATAACAACATTTACCTGTTCAAATGCACTACATTCAGTGCCAGTATCTTGTACATTCAAGTTTTGTTAAGTACAGAACTTTGCTTTTATCTCATTTTGGGTTCATGTTCTGCACCAGCTGTTTGCATTTAAAACAATACAAAGTCCCCTAGAACAGGGTGGTGGTGCTGAATGATCCTTTGCTGACCAGACAGTATCTGGGAATGAATCTGCCCCTGCCAAACCTTCCTCTGATGTCTTCCTTTGCATGCATTGCATCCTGCCAAATGAGGGAAGACACAGCACAAAAAAGCATCCTATTTTAATGGTAATACAGTACTTCAGCAACTGCCTAGACTGGGCTTCCTTCACTTGAACCATGTCCTCCGCACTGGGAGAAGTGATGGTCAGTTGCACGTTTGTGCAGCATACAAAACTGGTTTGGACAGCAGTAGATCAGGTCCTTCACTCACTGCCCAGTATTACTTCTGATTTGAGAAAACTGGCTGTTTGTCAAGGAATTGGGGCCGGGCAGAGGTCCATTTTCTGGAAGATGTTAAGGAACCTGACAAACCAGAAGTGAAAAATCTGAGGCTGTTCCTCATTGCTATGCAAGTGGGTAGGAGAGGGACAAATAGGAAATTCAAATTTAGGATGCTGTATTGGTCACTAGCAGTGCCTGAGCAACAAAAACACTTTTCAGATTAAAAGAAATTAATAGCTTACGTGAGCAGGTTAAAATAAAACTTGCTTGACTGAAGCATATTGATACTCATTGAGAATTGTTTATATGCTTAACAGTAGCAGAAACTGTTCAGATAGATTATTGGCAATCCCATTGGCAAATCCTATGGCTGCTAGATATTGTATAGATCAGGGATCCTCAAACTTTTTCAACAGGGGGCCAGTTCACTGTCCCTCAGACTTTTGGGGGGCCGGACTATAGTTTGAAAAAAATATAAACTAATTACTATGCACACTGCACATATGTTGTTTGTAGTGCAAAAAAAACCCCAATACAATATTTAAAATGAAGAACAATTTTAATCAACACAAACTTGTTAGAATTTCAGTGGGAAGTGTGGGCCTGCTTTTGGCCAATGAGATGGTCAATGGCCGGTTCCATATTCACTCCTCTCTTCTGTATTCAGAGCCAACGCATGTGTGCAATAGGGGGAAGAGCTGGCGCATTCACAGTTCACACTGGCAAGAGCAGCACAGCAGCAGGAGCTAGCCAGAGCTAGCAGAGAGAGCCGGTGCACGTGCAATTGAAGGGAGCTGTCACAATTTGGCACGTGCACCAGCTCTCTGCTAGTTTCCAAAACTGAAAGAGTTTCAGAGTATGACTGCACCGGCTTTGGAGATGGTTCTCTTCAAATGAGTCCAAAAGCTCTGAGATGGGCCGGGTAAATGACCTTGGCAGGTCGTATTTTGAGGACCCTTGATATAGATGGTCACTGACCCATTACTGGCCTCAGAAATGTGTTCAGAGCTGCAACTTCCACTCCCTCCATCCTTGCAGTGGCTCTTTCAGTGCCAGCAGTGCCTTTGAAATTATAAGTGTGACTTGGAAGCTGGCACTGGGGGTGGGGGTGGGGATGTAAGGTCCCACCATGATACAGGGAATCCTCCCAAATGGGCAAAATACACTGATGGCCGTCTATGCCTTTTGCAGAATGGGAAGCGCACAAAAGCAGTCCTTGCCTCTGCTCAGTTGTATGCTGCAGTCCTCCAAGATTCATTGCATGATGCCTTAAGTGTTGTTTTTACATTATGCTGTAATTGTACTTCAATTACTTTGTTCTCTAGAATGCCCGACTGGTCCTGACATCATTCCCATTGTTGCTGGTGTGGTTGCTGGAATCGTACTTATTGGACTTGCTTTATTGTTGATTTGGAAGCTACTCATGATCATTCATGACAGAAGAGAATTTGCAAAATTTGAAAAGGAAAAGATGAATGCAAAATGGGATGCGGTGAGCCAATATATTGATCCATTGAAATGGCTATGCAAAACTTGTGGCACAAGCAACAAATGTTCTTTTGTCCACTTACTTTAATAAATAAAATTTTCTTGGATAAAAATACACTGAGGGCACAATCATGCAGCCTTCTAACATTGCCTGAAGGAGGCATAGGAGTATTCGGAATCCCAGCTTGGATGTTAGGAACTGCCTGTTTTTTGTCAGTTCCAGCCTCCTGTCCTCACAGAGGGCTAAAGAGGGAGGCTGGGGCTGACAGCTTAACACTGGATTCAAGCAGTGCTGCAGACTCCTTCCCTTCCCCTTTGTAACACTTAATCTAGATGGCCAAAAACCGCTCTCTAAATGATATGCAAAGTGCAGCAGCAGGCATTGCCACCACTCTGTGTCATGTCCCGCACTGGATACACATTGAAGGTGGAGGATTGGGTCATGCCTTCTACCAGACTTGATAAAGTAAGTTTTCTCTGGAGTAGATCACCTGGACAGATAATCAAATCTGGCTCTGAGACATAGGTTTTCTGAATGTGTAGAGAAATTCAACACCATTCATTAGTGTCTGTTGTGTCCTAACCACATCACTGAGGCTAAGTAGTTTCTGTGTGCTCAATACACTGTATAGTCAGTGCAAAGAACAAACTATATTTGAGACTTCACATTCAAAGTTACTGTTGAAAACTTGGAAAAATGGTACAGTGAGGCTGTGTTTGACCCAGCAGGCAGACATCTTGTGTGGGAGCATCACTTTTTGTTCCTTTGAAGTATAACTTCAGTAAAGTTTGGGGTTTTCAAAGGTTTTTGTTTGTTTGGGCACTAGAAAGAACTATGAAGAAAGAAACTAACAGTTTTATGTAGGATACAGCATGGCCTTCTATTATAAGCTTTAAGAATATTATGTCTCTTCTGTATTCCACATTAATAATTTTTCTACCTTCAGCAAGAAAACCCAATATACAAGAGTCCTATTAATAATTTCAAGAATCCAAACTATGGACGTAAAGCTGGTCTCTAAGTTTCCGTTCGTATTTTCTTTTCCTTTCTCTTTCTGTGCATGTCCTTTTCTTGAAACTAACTATGCACCAATGAACTAATTACAGCTTGACCCTTACACATTTTATCAGCCACTCTCTCTCTCTCTCTTTTTTTTTTTTTTGAATTGTACAGTGGAGATTGGATGAAGGACCATTGTGAAATCATGGTGGTATGAATAGGGCCCACACCATTTCTTAAGGTCTGACTTGACTTTCCCTCAGTACATATACAGTGCCAGCTCCAGGATCTTGCTGGCTTTCAGGCAACAGGCATCTCTGAAAAAATGTGTAGTACTCTTGCACTGTGTGCAACCTTTTCAAGTATCTCTGTACAAATGAGAATGACCCAGTAGTGCTGTTAAGTAGTCTTTTGACAGACTTAAGAACCAACCAGATGCCTAAATTTGCTGTCTTCTGGATTGATAAAATAAAATATATGCATAATCCAACCAAATTTAAGAATTGTTCAGTTTCATTAATCTCAGTGGAAGTATTAAGTACATGCTTAATGTGTTTTCATTGAAATTCTTAATTTTGGGACTTGGAGTCCCCAGCCCTTTTGGACCAGTGAACACATTCAATTATCAATAATGTGTCATGGAAGCTTTCACAAAATGGCTGCCATGGGCTTGTTCATTCAAAAACAAGCCATTTCACAGAAGGCAAAGCAGCTAGTCCATGAAACTAAGTACAAGGCAGAAACAGGTCTGAACAAAAATACAAAACTACTTACATTAACCTACCATTTTTGACTCCAGCAAATCAATTTTACAGAAAGGCTAAAATACAAGTAACTTAAATACACATTGCATCCATAAAATGCAGTCATACTCCACACTTTGCTCTTCCCGTGGCTGCACTGCTGGCCTGCTTTATGCCCTTCTCTTCCTGCCCACTTCCCCCACAAGCTTAGCAGGCAAGTAAGGGGGTAGGGTGTCTCTTACTCCCTCAGCTTTACTAGAGAGCTGCAGCATGCCGCAAAGTGCCCGTACGTACCATATTTGGGATCCTTGGCTTAGGCAAACAAAATGTCATACTGAGTTAGCTGTATTGGGGAGATACACAGTTGACTTGACACAGACCATCTCCTCTTTCTCTTTATCACAATCTCTGTCTCTTGTTTGAGACTCTTCCTTACTTTAACAATGTGTGACTCTTTGTCACTTTGTAACTACTATATCTTTGAAATGCTTAGTTATGTGCTCCCAGAGTAACCTAGTTTCCCCGTTTTGTCTGACAGTTCACATAGAACAGCAAGTTGTTGATTAATTAATTAACCCATAATTTGCTATTACGTGTGAATTGGGTCACTGCGTGCTTTTTCACTCTGTCAGGTTTAAAGCTGCCTAGTTTTAAGCATAATTAAGTGCTGCTTCAAAAATGGCTTGAAACATTTCCTTAAGCAAACTACAGCAATTCCAATGCATGTTTCTATATGAACATAATGCATGCTTATACATATAGAGTTGTTTGATGAGCATAGAGACAAGATGAAATTGTGAAGTTAGTTCTAACTTGCTTGTAACAAGCTTTCTCTAAATAGTATCCAGAGCATCTCAAGTGCTGAATACCATGCCTTGGGAAAGATGGACTTTTTGGCCATAGCAATGCTAAATTCTTATGCACAATCCAATTTATCAAAGGCTGGTGGAGCTTCACATTGATGATTAATGCAATTACCTGATCTTGATTTTGTCTGCAGAACATAATTTACAGTGTCACAACATATCTATATAATTTTGAGTTAGATTTCTGTCCTTCTTAGATAGTTGTTCATATAAGATAGCCTTCTCCAACCTGGAACCCTTTAGTTGCTTTGGACTGCATTGGCCATGCTGGCTGGAGGAATGTAAAGTTGTAGTCTAAAACTTCAAGAGGGTACCAGGTTGGAATAGACTGTTGCTAGAGCTGGTAACTTAACAGTCCATCCTATCTGCTTTATGGTTACTAGCTCTGCACTTGAATAGCTCAAAATGGGAAAGACAGTATATGTCTGGAGAAACCCATTTTTGGATCTTTTGTTGTGACATGCAGTCAAGTTGTCTTTGACTTACGGTGACCCTGTGAAACAGTGTTGAACAGAGTTAGACTGTGTTGACCACAGATTTCTGTAAAGCAAATGATTAGAACTTCAGTTTGGTTATCCTCTTAACATGTTGCTAATAAAAAAGTAGCAATCATTCTGTGAGTGTCCTATAAAGTAATGTCAGTATTTGTTTTGCATTGAGAAAGGTGCATTCCAGGTACCTGATATCAACCCAGGGTGCATTTTTGGTAGGTGAATGAATATAGGCATGTAACACTAGCAGCACACCCATATACATGTATACTCAAAATTAAATTCCATTGAATATGATGAGCTTACTTGCACTTAAGTGAGTATAAGTGAGAATTGCAGCCTAGAAGTGCCTGTCTCTAAGTTTTATGTAGTGTGTGTTTAATTGTCCTATATGTTTCACTAATGTAGCAAATTACAGTGCTTAGGTGAAAGTTGTAATCCACATACCTTAACCATTTTGCATATCCTAAAAAAATAATTTATCATTGGCATGATGCTTAATAAAAGCTCAAGTTGCTAGATAACCTTTAGCTATTTTTAAACAATGTTTACTTGTTAGTTTCAGTCCAGGGATATATTGCAAGTGTAATGGGTCCAATATGTACATAGAGCACTGAATTGGTTTGACTGTGTGTGGAAATATGTCCAGAAAATGAGCTTCTGATTTTTTTCAGCTATTAGTCTAATTTGGTAAACGTTTTTTTTTTTTCTTTCAGGGTGAAAATCCTATATACAAGAGCGCAGTGACAACTGTGGTGAATCCTAAATATGAGGGGAAATGAAAACTGCTTTGTTAATTCACAACACTGTACGCAATGTAGCAATTTTGTAGTTACAGTAATCTAGCTTTAGGGCAATACCGCAATGAATTGACTAATTCATGACATTACATATAGGTTTGTTTCCTGTGCAGGTTTTAAAAATGTACAGTATGCTTTTTATTTTTGAAGAGGGTTTTTTTGTGAATAATCAGTGCTTGGGACTGACAGAACTTGAGACTATAAAGCCTACACAAACTTGTTACATAGTGCCTTTTTGACCTTTTCCCCTAATGCATCTGGCGTGAAATAACTGAGGGCACAATGCTATGGCTTCCTGATGTTGTCTTGGAGTGTTGGGGAGGGCGGCAGCTTAGGGATATTTGGAGCTCCAGCTCTGGGATCCTTTGATTTTTAAGCTGATACTCCAAACACTGAGTCCACACCCTGCCACCTCTTGCAGCCAGTAGGGAAGAACTGCATCTGTCTCTGAGGATGTAAGTGGGGTGTGGAGAGAAGGAAAAGAGGTGTGCTGGAGGGCACAGCACGGAGGTAGCTGGAGCTGACAGCTTACACTATTTCCTATCAGTGCCCGAGCCTCCTTTCTTCCCCCTCACCAGCACTTCCATCCAGATGGCTGAAAATGGTTGTCTAAATGAAATGCATGGCAATCGGGTGCTGCAGCAGTAAAGATCATTGCTGCTGCTCCTTGCTATCTGCATCAGATGCATGTATGCCTCCAGGTTCAGAGGCTTACATGTACCTGCAGTGGAGGGCACTGTTTTGTGCCCTAAAGCAATCAGAATGAGCAGCTCTGTGTAGCGATTAAATATTAATATTATAATTTTTTTGCTTTAAAGGCGTATCAGGGCCTGGTTTGCACTTAAAAAGCAAGCCAAACATTGTGTGTAAACTACACTCTAGCTTGTAAAAAATGGAATGTTTGCAAGCGTGAGCCTTATTGAATGCAGTAAGTTCAATAAGATGGGAACCATTTGTTTAAGACAATTTAATATGTGTATATGCATTTTAAACTGCCAAATGTTACATATAAGAAAAGAAATAGGATCCCAAACAGTAGCTCCAATATTGTGCCGTTTTTTCATAATGTTGCTGCACAGTAATTTAAGAAATCTCCTTTTGAAATTCAGGGCCCAGGTTATTTCTGAAAAGTTGTAAGCTAGGTCCATCTTTTAAATATTTTAGAGACCTTTTACTTAATAGTTTTTTTCCCAATGTGTTTGCTTGGGTTAAAGCCTGGTGCTTTGTCACATTTGTCTTTAATGTATATGATTTCATTTTATGTAAGGTTATTGTTGTCAAAACAACTTGACTTTCTTTCACAGCCTTGGCTGTAAATTTGCCTTTACCCTGTAGCTTAAGACTGCATATTTATCAGGTAACATGACTGTCAGTCAAGAGATATCATTGTGCCATGTATATTTGCCTCAGACTGTTCTATCATCTGTTCAGTACTAGCCATGTTATTGTTTTAAGTGCCTTTCATTTTAACTAATGTTCACTTTTCACAGTGCTATCATGGAAGTTATTTATTAAATAAAAAAATCTTTAAAATGTTGCACCTGCCTGTCTTTCTACATTGTGCATATTAGTGCTCCAGGAGCATTCAATGAATTCTTAAACTATGTTGGGACAGTTTTGTCCCTTCATTAAGAACTGTTGTGATATCACTTCAGAAATTTTAAAAATCTGAGAACAACTTAGGGATAAAATTGAAATGGATAACATAATGAAACATATACATACTGAACATTAACATTATTACACAAATGCAAACTTGTTCTGAAGTAACTTTGAAGTGCAATAGTCTTAGACTCATTTTTTTACAGAGACAAGATGTGGGTAGAAAGTTCTCACGGCATTTATATGCACCATCCTTCCATTTTACCTTCACAACAACCTTGTAAAGTAGGTGAAGCTTAGAGTAACTGACCCACAGTAACCCAGTTGGGTGGCATAGCCAAATGGAACTTAGATTGCCCAAAGGTTAGCACTCTTAAGCTGTGTGCTACGGGGATTTGTATCTTAAAAAGCAGTATGTAAGCAGCCTAGCTTCTCTGACCTATTAGTCTTTCAATACAAAATGACTATTGTTAATTGAGATGTATTAAGAGATCAGACCAGCCTTTTGCCAGAGTGACCAACCAACCAGATTCTTATTTGTTAATTAACCCTGCTTTTCTATGAAGAAAATGGAGGGCAGCCTCTAATTATACAGAACTAAAAATTAAAACAAATATATTGTGAGCACAACAGTAACAATAAAAGCAGTACCTGCTCCAATAGACCCACTTGTAAAATGCTTTAATAAAATGCTGGCAGAAGGACCACATTTTCAGTGGCTGCTCCCAGCCTTGACAAAAAGGTTCCAAAACCTAGGAGCAAGTGCCAAAAAAACCTCCTCTCATCTTAAAGTAAAATGCCTCTACAGGTGGTGGTACAGAAATAATGGCCTCACCCCAAGAATGTTAAAACTCATGTAGGCTTATTAGGCAAGACAGGCTTTCAGAAAATATCCCATGTTTAGGTTTTTCTAAGACATTATAGAACTTTGAATTGTGCCTAGCAATAGACCAGTTGATGGTTGAGCTGTTTTAACAAGGATTGTATATGGTTCCTATATTCAGCTGGTATATGGACCAGCTGAAAGTTTTGAACAGCTTTGAAAGGCAGATTTACATAGTGTATGTTAGTCATCTGAATAGGATGGAAATAAGGCATGCATGACTGGCTAGATCAGGCATCTTTAGAAACTAGTCCCACCTGTGCAAATATACTCCTGGTCACTACTGAAACTAGGACTGAATCTAGGAGTACATCCAAACTCTGAGGCTGAATCTCAAGGGGAAGACTAACTCCATCTAGTCCAGGCTGTCTATTCTCTGATTTGCCTATTGACAATCCAAGATCACCTCTGCATTCGACTTCAGCTGTTCATTCTCATCAAGCATATTACTAATGTTAAATACAGATTGAGAACTAAAACAGTTTCCTTGAATGTTGATGAAAAGGAGAGAGAAGAGTTTGGTGTCATCACATTCTGGTGGCACTGAAATTCAAAATTCTGGACAACCTTTCCCAGCAGATTTATGAAAATGTTAAAAAGCATGGGAGGAGAGGAGCAAGATGAAACCGTAAGGACTATGACAGGCAAATGGCCACATTGAACAGGAATCCACCAGCACCATTTGAAATCATTCCTCCAAGGAGGCTCAGAACTAATCTATAATATTCCTTCTAATGCACCTCAAAAGGATATCATGGTTTCTCACTGGAATTGTTTGTGATTGTGCATTTGGGAACCTCTTTAGGAATTCATAGATGTTGGGGTATTTTGTATATTAAGCCA